TTTCGGTTAAATCCATATATTTGGATGTTATCAACTCTAGCGTCATTCCGCCTTCGAAACATGTGTGGAAAGTCAAAGTGCCTTTAAAAATTAAGGTGTTTATGTGTTTTGTTCATAAACAAGTCATTCTAACTAAGGACAATTTGGCAAAACGCAATTGGACAGGTTCTACACGATGTAGCTTCTGTGATTCGGAAGAATCCATCAAACACCTCTTTCTCGAATGTCCCTTGGCAAAAATTGTGTGGCGAACAATGCACATAGCTTTTAATATTACTCCTCCGAATACCATCAACACGTTATTCTGGACGTGGTTAGATGGGTTAGATTCCATAACTGCGAGACATATCCGTGTAGGAGTATGTGCTTTATTATGAACAATATGGAACTGCAGAAACGATTTGGTTTTTAACAGAACAACAAAAATTCATTTCTTGCAGGTTATCTTCCGGGCCACTACACTCATCCGTATGTGGTCGCTATTCACTCCGACGGAGACCAGGGATCGTTTGGTTACTGGATCTATCCGATGGGAGATAGTAGCTTGGGATATTTTCAACCGGTTTGGATGGCGGTCATGTAATAGGATATGTGTTTGGTGTCCTATCTTATATTTTTGCCGGCCGGTTGTGGCTATCCTGTCATGTTGCTTTTGCTCTTTGTGAGCTTCTTTATTTTTGAGACCTGAAGACTTTTGTTGAACATGTTGCTTTTTTTAATAATATGGCCGCATGCATCATTCTGATGCAGAGGCCGGAGCCTGACCCCTTTTCAGAAGAAGAAAAAACACTCATTGCTAGTTATATATATGTGCCATGAACAGCATTCCTGCAACCAATGTTACCCTATGACTAACAAGAAGTGTTGTTCATTTCTGGAGTTCCCACTGCACTAACCAATCGTTTGATCGGTTCAAGGAGGGGCACATGGACAAAAAGAAGTCAATGCAAAGAGCCCATGTAAGCAAGGCACCAATCTACACCACACCTGGAGGTTAAGTAACAATTTTTTTTATTTTATTTTTTTTGCGGGGAGGAGGTTAAGTAACATATAACCCTACAAGCAGCAGAGCTACACTATCTATGCAAAAGTCTACAGTCCCAGCCTAAGGCATCATCTGATCTCCTACAAGTCTTGCATATCTCACCTTTAGCAACAATTAAATCCATTTCTAAACCTCGTGAAGGTTTATAGTTTAGAACGATGTGTTATGCGGTACTCTGCAAGGACTATTATCAATTTACATGGTTCGTAAACAAAGTAGGGACAGTGGTGCAGACATTTCAGAAACAGTAGGGGCAATGGTGCAGACTAAAAAAGAGCGCAAAAACTCATAGTGAGGCGTCAAGAGGGGGCAACCACGCTCAATAGAATTCTGCATCTCCTGTATGCCAAGAGATCCACTGTAAGATATGACGCTGAATTGTTGTATTCCCTACAATTTTAAGCATAAGTTGTTTTAGATTTGTGCACAAGTATTAAGAAAAGATCCGCCACCACACTCTTTTGACCGGTCTAGAGGCGCACAAGGATCGACAGTCCTTGTGAAGAGCCACATTCTAAACTCTACAACATTCAGCTTCAGCACTATTGGACGTGTTAATGTAACAGTAACAACACACAACAGTCAAGACGGAAAGCACCTTTACTAAGGAAATACAGTCAATGAAACCACTGAAATAGTTGCATGGAGCCAAGTGTTACCCATATACATTATCTGGAAGGATGAGCCGCTGGTAGTCCTGCAAGTGAACATACTGGCAGTACACATGATCGAAGCGCCACTGAAGACCGAGCTCGTAACGCTTATAGTACCAATTGTCCTCGAGATTAGAGGGCGGGAACACCGCTAAGAGGCTCGCACCGTCCATTCCCCGGCATGCATTTGTCCTGTATCAATCAAACATTCCAGAAGCAGAGTCTAAAAACACGCAGAAAAGTTTGGAGTATGATATCTTGCCACATGTGTGTGTGATGTTGTAGTAACAACAGGTTACACGTACCTCGTGGGCTCTGATGCGGCACAGCGCGAGGCGTTGGTTCAACGCCTTGAGCTGCTCGTCCTCGCAGAAGGCCAGCTGAGACTCCTCGTCGTCTTCAGGGGGGCCGTCGTTCAGCCGCTCGAGAAGAGAGTCCATCTCGTTGGAGAGCTTGTCGTCGTCCCAGGCCTTGGATTTGCTCTTGTCCGCCGGAAGAATGCCCAGCGCCAGCGGTGTTCACCCGTGCAGTGCTGCCGAGATCGCCTGGAGTGGGTGTGTTTTGGATCTTGGTTCTCTTCTCACCTGATCCTCGCGAGCTGCCATTCTCCATCTCCAATCCAAACCTAGCCTGTCCTGCCATTCTCCTTTTTTTTTTGAGAAATGTTTCAGCAGAAAAGATGAAAGTACCCCTCTCGCTGGGCCATATTCTCGTCTCGGCCTTCAGTGGACCGGGAGGCCCGAGCTTAACGCGGCCCGTTGCCAGTCAGTGACACCGCCCCTTCTCCCCCTCCTCTCCGGCGACCCCTCGAAAAAAAAAATCCTCCTCACCGGAGGTTCTCCCCCGCTCCCAAACGCCGCCGTCCAGTCTCGCCCGGGCCCGGCGGATCGTCGGAGGGTTCGACGCTTACGGGCCGCCATGCAGACCCTCCCCTCCTCGCAGCTGCGGCCAGTGCCGGTGCCAGTCCCAGCACCGCCGCCGCCTCGTCCACTCCGCCTCCAAAACCCGCGGCGGGAGCTCCGCAAGTGCCCTTGAGCTCCTCTCAACTCTGTTCCGGTTCTATTTCCGGTGCTCGGGGTGAATTGATTTTCCGAGTCTGTATTAAGCCGCCGGGTTTGGGGAATTCCAGGCTCGACGTCGAGGCAAGCATCGACCAGGTGTGGATTAGAAGTTTCACAATGCCAAATCTATGAAGTATATTCGACCGCCGTCCTGGTTCAGTGGTTCATTCAACCTGACATGGGGGTTCTGAATTTTCGTGCGGCTGCTATTTCAGGGGACATCATACTTGGCTGATGAGCAGCAGAAGGGTGGCATTTGGGAGCTCTTCAGCGAGGCTCAGCGGAGTAATACTAACTGACCTATCCCTTGTTTCACTCAAATTTAGTGTTAGTTGTTCCCATGCCACTACCTCGGGATAGTGTGGATTAATGACTGAATG